ACTGAGCTTCAAACGTGTCCCGCTCCTCTTTGAGTTGGACCCAGGACTTCTGTAACTCTTCATGGTCAGTTGGCATGTCAGGATGATGACCAAGGAAAGTAGTATCTCCTTCAATAATTGGTTCCACTATTATTGGTAGGACAGCAGGGTAAGGCATCATAAGACTTTGGGCGCGAGCTCGTACCCATCAGAGATAAGGCTCAAGAGGAATAGAATTCTTGTGCCCTAGTGTCTTGCTATCAATTTTATGCACCATGCCCCAAGCTTTTATGAACCTTTTGCGGTATCCCTGAGCATCATTCTCATAGTTGAAGGCGATTCCTTGGATAAGTGTATCATGAGGACCATCTCTTCTCGCATAACCAAACTGACACAGTGCCAAATAAGGGTTGTAAGTGATTCCTCCCCTAATGCCTAAGAGAGGGACATTAGGGAATTCACCACAACGATCTATGATGGTAATATCTTCCGAGAACCATGAACACCAATGAATGTCTGAATGTGTAAGGGACATCAGCCTACGAGACCATTTTAAACCATGTTCATTCTTCAAAATAGACCTGGGTAGGTGCGAAATAAACCACCTAGCCAATAAAGGAGTGCAACATAGGAGGGTCCCCCTTCTCTTTAGAGTGCGAGCATGCAGAGAGTGTAGAATATCCCCGAGTAATGTAGGCACCGTATTATGAGACAAAAAAACTTTAATAGCGTTCATATCTACGAGTTGATCCGTATTAGGGAAAAGTACCACCCCGTAAACGAGAAGTGCCAGAACCTCTTCGAAAGCTTGTAAATCCAGGGTATCCCAAAAATGGTAAGCCTTCTCGAATAGAAACTTAATTGGAATTCCTTGGACACTTCCTCTAGTCTCCCAATTTGTCACTATGTCAGACCGTTGTAAGGACAGGAATCAAACAATCTCTTCAGGCTTTGGATGTTCTTCTGTACCGTTTAAAGGTAACTGGTCCAGAATAGGTACCCCTAACAACTGAGAAAATTCCTCCATAGTAGGTACTAGCTGGTAATCCGGGAAGGTGAAACAATGGTGCACAGGATCGAAGAACTGAAACAACACTTTTAAAAATTCTTCATCAGGTTTTGCAGTGACCAAATTGAGCAACTGACTATGTTTTTTAGTGAAATGAGAACTTTCAGGAACCCTTAATTCCAGGTCCTTTAGTTGGAGAGGCACTTTCACAAGGTAACTGGCACTTTAGTGGTAACTGGTTACCAGAAAGGGTGTAACCGGTTACTCCTGCAGCCATATAAAAAATTCAAAGTAATCAGTTACCAAAAAAGGTTTAACCGGTTACGCATGACAAAAATTGTCACAAAAGATAAAACTGTGTTTATGTAACATGTGAAAATTGTGACGGTTTTAAAATGGTGTTACGATTAATTTAAATCCCACAATGTACCAAAAATAGAATGTTTGAAATAATTTTTTAAAACTATTTTTATGTTTATATAACTGGTTAACATAAAAGTTGTAACTGGTTACCATTGTACAAAAAATAAAAAATACTTTTGAAAATAGTTTGAAACCAGTGGCAATGTATTTTTAAAATAGTAATGCATATGTATGAACATGTTAAATAATTTTTTTTATCATAATATGTATATCATAACTTGAATTCCAACTTGTACCTATTAATGAATATCAAATATTCAAAGTGATCCAAGTTCATCTTTAACAATATTTCTTGAGATACAAGACTTGGTTTCATATTTTTTTGCTCATGATGCTTTTGCTCATCCTTTGATATATGCATATGATAGTTGTCTTCATCAAAACATAATGTTTGAGAAGCTTGACTCCACAATCTCCCACTTTTTTATGATGACAACTTTGAAACATGAAGTTCTTGAATATTTTAGAATAAATGAGAAGCTTTTATGTGAATGCTCCCCATAACTTTGATAATTCCCCCTTGATCAAAACTTTCTCTTGATTCATTGAGAATTTGACTTTTTGTGGCAGCAAAAGTTAGAGACAAGAATATGCATACACATATATCTTCTCCGCCTTTATCATTATAAAAAAAGGAGGAGAAAAAGATAAATCATCTAAGGAAATCATGAAAATTAATAATTCTTTTACATATTAGTTTTATCTCATGAGTGACTTCATCAGCATTCATCATTGGTGAACTTAATTTTGAATTGTCACAAAGTTGACTTATGCCTAGAAGATTATGCTTTAGTCCTTCAACATAAAGTACATCTTCAATGAATGTGAAAGATGATGCTTCAACTTTTCCTATGCCAAAAAAATTTCCTTTATTGTTGACCCCATATGTGACATAACCCTTGGACTTTAGAACTAGAGATGAAAATTAGTTTATATCTTTCGTCAAATGCTTAGAACAACTACTATCAAGACATCATATATTTGAAGTGGTATTAAAGAAAACCTACAAAAAAATTAAGTTTTATTTGGTACTCAATGTTTGTTGGGTCCTTTTTAATTAGTTATTTTCTTGACTCACACACAATGCCCACTTTCCATACTAAAGTTCCTTACATAGGAAGCATTAAGTGTATGACCAATTATACCACAATAAAAACATGTAGGAACAAAACTACTTATATATCTAGGAACATAATATTTTTTTCTTAACAAATCTCTTCTTAGGATGATGATGAACTTTTTGTGCTTTATTCACTTTCTCTTTGGTGTATTAGTCATTTACCTTAACAAATACAATTTTACTCTTACTTAGATTTTAAAATTTAAAATAATCAAATTCATTTTTATCATTGGAATATCTTTGTTGACTAAAGACGTTTTCCAAGCCAACTTGTCATTTTCCATACCTTTCAAGAACTTTTTCAATTGGAAAATTTGGAAAGAAAGTGAATCACACTCTTTACATGTAAAATTTTGTTTTTCTTTTTCAAAAAAACTTTGTTTTTCAAATTTAAAATCTTTTTCCATGGTGTCAATCTTTTCTTCAAGAGATAGAATTTGTTTCTTTTGTGTTGACACTGTTTTATATGGAATATTACATTCATTGATTAATTCATCAATAACACCTTGTAAATCATCATTATAAAAATATATTTCATTACTAACGTCTTATTCTTCTTCATCATCGAAATGGTGTGTTGCTATCAATGTCTTATTTACATGTTCTTCATCTGAAGATGAACTTATATCATTGTTATCCGTGCTACATAAACTTTATTTGACCTTTTATCGTTCTTGATTTTGAAGTATTTATTCTTCTTTTTTACATGTAAGGAATTCACTTTTAACATGTCCTCTTTCTCCACATTCAAATCATGTAACCTTCTTTGATAGTGCTTCTCTTTTTGAATGATCTCTTTTTTTCTTTCTTTTCTTAGAAACTTTTCAAACTTCTTGATAAGATCATCATCTTCATCACTATTGGACTCATCCTCTTAATTGCTATCATAATTTTTTACTCTCGTCTTTAAGGCAATGCATTTTGAATCTTTTACTTTAACTTCATGCTTCTCCAATCTTCCAAGTTCTATTTCATGCTCTTGGAGTTTTTCGAACAATTTTGTGGATGTCATTTTGGATAGATTCTTCTTTTCAGATATCATCATTACTTTTTGTTTCGATTCCCTGGTCAAATATCTAAGCATTTTAAGATTAATTCCATCGTTGTTAAGAGTCTTAACAAGTGTTATCAAGTGATTTGTCAAATTCACAAATCTTTTCTACAAGCCAATGATTGATTCTCAAGGATGCATTCTGAATAATTCATACTCTTGACTCAAAGTGTTTAATCTAGATCTTTTAACTCCAATGGTTCATTCATGAGTTTCCACTAATATATCTCATATTTCTTTTGTCGTTATGCATGTTGAAATATGAAAGAAATCATCCATGATAAGAGCACCTTGAAGAAGATTTATTGATTTCTTATTGTAGAGGAATTTTTTCTCATCATCTTCATCCCATGAACTTCCATGCTTAGGGGTGCCAACATCATTAACACTGGTAGGAATGAAATGACCATTTTCAACTACTTTCCATACTTCTCTTCCTTGAGATTCTAGACGTGTTTTCATACGAGTTTTCCAAAAATCAAAGTATTCACCACAAAACAATAAAGGCTTGTTATTGCTACCACCGTCTTTGAAAACCAGATTTCTCTTTGCGGAAGCCATTCTGGATCTTTAGGAATGTGTTACCTATAACATGCTCTGATGTTAATTGTAAGTATTGAGTGCGCCTAAGATGGGAGAGTGATTTAAGTACTTTGAAACTGTCTGGTTTTTAGACACAAGTATGCTTATTTTTTTGGTTTGGTGTTAAGCGTTAAAAGTGATAAAGTGCAGAAAAATAAAGAACACAAAGAAATTGTACTACTTTCTTTCACAGTTCGAGAGTACGTCTATCCCCTTACAACATGTAAGAGATTTTAATAATGTTAGAACTTTGTACAAGCCTAAGTTAGACTTATAGACACTAACTTCTAATCAACCACTAAGTTAACAACACCTAATGATCAACCAAATTGAAATGAGAACATTACTCTCCAATCCAACTCACTTGTTTCTAATAATCCTAGACAGTAAAGTATAAAAAAAATATGTAATTATAATGAAAGTGATGTATTACCGGACTTTGATCTAATACTATAATAAACTTTGATATTTAAGCATCGTAGGAAGGGAAAATATGTTTTTTTAATCCTATTATGTTTTATTTAATGTTAGAAGAACTCTTAATTTTTTCTCAAATTTTTTATGAGTTAAGATAACAATGATATAACATGGTGAATTTTGTAAAATAAAATAAAAGAATATTAAATATAAAATTTATTTATTAATTAATTAAGTAAAAACTACATTACATAGTCCTAAAGGACCGAAAGTATCTTATCACAAAACTCCTAAACATAAAAAAAAATCCCCAAAACAACAAGAGAGAGTATTTTTATCATATAATATAAAATGCTCTTTAACAAAAAAAAAAAAACATTAAAAATTGACATATTCATAATCCATCAAACATAATTAGTTTATTTGCTGTGCATTGCATCCTTGGCAGCATCAACAGCTCCATGTGCCTTTGCCTGCATTTGCTGACCAGTCTACACATAATAACAACAACAAAAAACATAATTAGCAACATTTTTACATTTAATTCATAAATTAATTATGATATGATTTTATTTTGTACAATATTATTAATTCTGAAATAAAGTCAAATTTTGTTACCTCTTGCATTGATTCCTTAGCAGATTGAGCAGTATTACTAGCTTTGTCCATCATGTTGCTAGCCTTTTCCTATTATCAACAAAAAAGTGCATATAATTAATATGTTAATATACAAATTTAAGAAAAATAAATAGCTTTAAATTTATTAAGAAATCTAACTAAAAGGTTTGCAAATCTTAACAAAAGTCAATATTGTTAATTTGCACATTAACACCAAGATTCAAATCTTGATTCTCACGTTCTGTGAGTGAGTTTCTAGTGCGGTGATTAATACTAATCCGTTTATAAACAAAAACATAAAATTAAAGAGTATGGAAACCTGAGTTTGGCCCTTGGCCTGTCCAGCATCGTAGCTTGCCTTGTTGGAATCCATTTTTTTTAAAATATGGAAGTGATTAACTGAATGAATTGAAGATTATAAGAAATAATTCAATTAAGATTAGTGTTTAGATTGAATTGAAGATTAATGTTGAGATTGAATTATTTATATAGGCAAATTTCCCTTGAATATTGCACTAGTTATGCTATTTTTATTTGTGGTGGTGTTGTGCTATTTTTGAGGAGTGTGACCAAGAAAACATCACTTACTATTTTCAGGTTGCTTAAAGTTTGGTGACACTTAATCTATCATTTATACAATTATGTATTTGTCATTTTTATTATAGATGACTCATAAAAATGACAGTGGGTGAGTGTGTAATAGTTGAACATATCATAACTTTTTTAAATTTGTTTTGGAGTAAATGGTTTAATAAATGCGACATATTAAAAAGCTTCTTAATGACACTACTTAAAAAAGAGAGGAACAAAACATAAACTTTACATTAAAAATTATAAATTTAAACTTAAAAAAATTGAATACACAATATATTAACTCAAAACTTCCCTATTGTTTCTTTAAGAAGTGCTCTAGAGGTAGTTTTCATCATTTTATTCATTTATACTAAAATTGTAATTAAATTTAAAATTGAATATACAATATAGTAACTCAAAACTTTTCTATTGTTTCTTTTAGAAGTGCTCTAGAGGTAGTTTCCATTGTGATTATCTTCGGCTCGACCATTGTAATTATTCTTAACTCAAGATATTGATCTTTCCAGTTGCACGTAGATATGATACAAATAAACACAAATAAATTAAAATTAATTTTAAGAAATATAGGTGTCTCAAAAATGTTTTGTTGTCTTAACCCTCTACTTTGGAAGAAGATTGAGAATGAGATTCAAATACAATTTTTTTGAATATAGTACTACACACTAATCATCAACGTTACATATATTTTTTTAAAGTTTTTTAAAGTTTGTGGGAGTGCTTGTTATTCTTAAATAAGGTCAATTTTTTTTTACAAGTCTGACATTTATTCGAAGGAGTGTATATTTCTTGAAAACTCTTTTTGGATAGAAAACACTTTTCCATTAAATGAAAAATCAATAGGCATTACAAAGATCAAAATACTTATGATATAGGACATTATCATATCCACAGTCTTGCAACATCTTTAAAATTAATAATTACATAGACATAAAATACATTAAACATAGTTTGATAACAAACTAAAAAGACACAATCAATCAAGAAACAATCACATATCATCCTTCCATCTACTTTCTTAAGAACATCATTTGTGACAATATATGAATGAGAATCCATTGTCTTTTTTCAAATCCAATTAAGGATGATTTCTTTGACTTGTGTTTGCGCATTTCGACTAACTTTGGTATCGAGATTGTCCACTTATATCGAATGTTCAAAGGTTAATTGATGACTCGAGATATGTTATTCCAAGACTCAAAACTCTTTGAAGGCTTTTTATCAAATGCATGGAGTGAATACTTATACCTAAAAATACAAAAAAAAAAATTAGACAACACTAAAATAGAAATAGATAGATCTGATAGAATTACTTCAACTTGTAGAGGATCCATGGAGGCTTTTATGAGTGCACTTGCCCATTGGATATTTTGTCTGATGTTAAAACTAGGATAACCTTAGCCTTTTTGTACATTGAACGGTATCTCTGAGTATTTATGTGCATCTTTGTATTAGGGATCTTAGAATGCATTTAGAACATGTTTGTAGCTTCTGTAACTATGTGTCGAAACATGCATCTCTACAGGTCGACACATACTGAAAGTTTTCGTCTATTTGTCGACACATACGTGTTTCAAGTCAACACATGTATTGTATTTTTAAAGCCTGTAAGTCTATGTTTCGTTGTGTCGACACATGACCTTGAATAGGTCGACACATGTCATTACATGTGTCGACACATGAGTTATACGTGTCGACACATACTGAAATGTTTCAGAAAAATTGCATTTCTTTTCCATTTCCAAGCCTCCCTTTTTGTCTCTAACTTGCACATATATAAATACTTCATACATGCATCATTTTTAACTTGATGAAACTATAAACACATAGAAATATTGCTCATCATCTTCAACCTCTCAACTATGCATAAACACAAACAAAGTACACATAATTATTCATTGTCTGAGTTCTATCTAAAATTGTGTTGATAACGTTCAATTTAGGTTGGTGTAACCTAAGATGGATTGAGAATTTTTGGGGGTTTCATCGGAAAAACTGTGAGGGCTTTCCTTCAAGATCATAATGTTAATTTGGGGATTTTTGAAGATGCAAGAAAAACAAAAAATGGGGGTTTGAATTGAGTTTATAGAAATAAAATATTTTTGAAACCAAACACAAGAAGTTAACACAAGAAGAAAAATAAATTAACACAATTATTTTTATTCTCGTTCATTGTTAACGAAGATTATCCAGTCCACCCACAAAGGTGATTTTCATTTTTCAACAAGGACTTAATCCACTATAATCAAACTGGTTGAAGACACAAACAAAGACTAATTGTCAATGTTTATAACTATAATGACCAATTGTCACCGTCTTCTCGAGAATTCTAACTAAATCCCTAGTCTCTCAAGGAACAATCAACTCACTGTTGAATACAAGTTTGTGTGTTTACAACATTTCTTCTTAAAAGCAGATTACAAAGAAATAAAGAAAAAATAATAACACAACAGTGTTAAGCAAGTTAGCAAACAACAATTCCTTGCTAGAAAGTTAACGAACAAAAGTTCCTTGCTTTACAAAACTCTATAAAGTTATTTTGTCAGCATTTTAGCAAATTGAATCAGCGTAAAAATAATTGTTTCTAATTCTTCCAAGACTTGCTTTTATAGGAAAAAAGATATACATTGGAGGGTAGAATATGAATACCAAATTTCCAGTTGTCTTCTTGCACAACGGTCACTGAGTGGTATACAACATTGTACCAATAGTATAGTCCTTGCGCCATAAAAACATGGTAGTGGTTGGAGGTAGCCTTGTACTATTTATCTCTAAAAATATTTGATCTTCTCTTCTAATTCTTCAGGGGCTTCAGAATATGTAAGAGTTGAAGCATGCTTAGAAGGATAAAAAACCTTGTCTTCAAAACAATGTCTTCAGAGTCTTCAAAACTTGTTTAGCAGAATCTTGTCTTTAGAGTCTTCAGCACATTGGTGTTCAGATCCATGTCTTTAGAATCTTCAGAACTCGTTCAACAAAACCTTGTCTTCAAAATCTTTAGAACCGTTGGTCTTCAGAGTCTTTAGAAATTGTTCCTTAGAACCTTGTCTTTAGAATCTTCATAACCTTGGAGCAAGAGAGCTTAGAATCTTCAGAGCTTGAGAAGCCTTCAGAAGCTCTACTATCAGAGTCGCAGTTAGAAGCAATAAAACTAACATTCATCAGAACCATTGTTTCATAAGCATTCTAAGCAATGGCATACACACTTGTATCTCTTAGTGTGTTGAGTCCGGAATATTATGACGTCACGCGTTAATTCTTCACAATCAGAACCTGTTAGCAAAAGCTACACATTAAACAAAACCATCAGGGTAATAAATTTTTATATTAATCACCCATGTAATGCTATCATCAAAACTCAAGGCCTGATGCAGAACCAAATCTTGTTTTTACAATCTCCCCATTTTTTATGATGAAAAAACAATGTATTTTGATAAGCAATTTATATCGGTTTAATCACATAAAACAATTCGGAGTAAGCTAAGAAACTCCCCCTGAGTTCTATATTCCCAAAGCTTATTTAATCTATATCATAGTCTCCCCCTGAGTTCAAGACTTAAAGAAGTTTTGAGAAATAGCATGAACCAATTAGCATGAAGGAATACTTCCCTGATTGAATAACCCTCAAAAGTCTGACTGACGATGCCGATATGTTCATCTCAGATTCTGGCTTGCTATCAGAACACGAAGGTGCAACAGAGTCTAGTTGTACTTGTCATACCGTCAGAGTCTGGTTGAAGTTCCTTTCACAAAGGAAAAATAACCCATGACTTCTAATTCTCTAGGTTTTGAATTTCCTTCAGAACTTCCGAGTTTGCTTGTTAAGAAAAATTCAGTGATCTTTCTCAAAGTTGCTGAGTCAAACAACGTTAGCAGAAAAAACATCAGAACATGTTTGTGAACAATATTTTGAGAATATATATAATCAAAATAATATTTCTTTCTCCCTTTTTGTCAGAAATCAAAAAGATTTAAAGAGATAAAATAAATTTTTGATTAACCAAAGAGAAGTGTACAAAAAGTTTTAGAAACACAAAAAATTCTAGAGTTCTAAAAACAAAGGTAAACAAAAGGTCTAAGGTATTGGTGGAGGAGGAGGAAATATCCTAGTCATGAAATCCTTCATCATGTTGTCAAACGAGTTGATAGAAGCATCATGCATATCAAGTCTTTAATCTTGCTTGTCCAAACGAGCTTTAATGAGAGCATTGGACTTCTTCAGCTCTTCTAGAGACTCCTTCAGCCAAGAAAGGGTCTCTTCCGCAACAACAATCTTCAAAATCCCAAAAACGGTACCATCTTCAATAGCAAACTTCCCATAATCTACTACCGCAAAAGCAGCAGCATCTGAAGGTTTAACATCCATTGTAGAAGCAATAGCTTCTTCTACAAAAGGAGCAGGCAAGCAAAGAGGAATATGAGGCAGTGCTTGAGCAGCTAGCCAAGCCTTATGATTCTTCCTGGTATCCATTAGACAGTAATCTTGAATGATATTAGAGTTATCATTCATCCATTTTCTGAAGCCATTATAGATGGAGTTGACCCTATAGGGATCCATACTAGCAGAAGAACTCTCCAAAGAATAGTGAAGAGTGTCCTGAGCATACCATTCAAAATAATGCATAATCTCATCCAAGGGTATTGGACGGTTATCGATTTTATGGTAAACATGAGGGGTTTTCCACGATAAGGGCGAGAGGTATAACACACTAATCTTCCTCGGTGTAATTATAAACAAAATAGAGTAATTTAAAACATCTAAACAATTAAGATGTTACGTTC